AAAAAAAAAAAAAAAGATCCATGACAAAATAACTCCTTCCTCTGTATTGGTCAAGGAAATCCAAATTAGCTTTGCGTTAGAAAAGTTCCCATCAGTAGGGAAGGGAAAGAATCCTGTAGAGCTAGATCTGTGGCCTGGATATTAATTGAAAGGTCAAAGGTTGAAGGTCTATGTGTGGTTAAAAAAAAGCCATTGTGGGGATGACTTTGTGAATTATCCTCAAATAAATTTCCAGGAGCTATCCAAATTATTTAATAATGAGCATAGTACCCCAAGTACATTTTGGTTTTGATTAGATTAGTATTCATGTAACTAGATGTAGTAATGAATATATTATTAAGCAGTAAACTATTATGAAAAGCATGGGTGATTTTTCATTTTCTCCCAGCTCACAATGTGTGTCTAGTGATAGTAGGTAATTGATGTATGTTGAACGAAATAATTCTTCCATTAATTCTTCTGAACAGACTGGATTATGGACAGAACTCGGGAAGATTGAGAATAATTTCCTAAAGCCTCTCCATACAGGACTGAATATGTCAAAAGCACATTATGAAGCAGAAATTAAAAAGAACCAAGAAAAGAGCCAAGGTTGGTAATGTGCAATTTTGTTTTCAGTTAGGTATTAAAATTAAATCAAATTTTGGAATGACATTTATATATTCAAATTAAAGGACTTTTTTATCTTATGCTTGTTTAGTTCATACTAAACAAGCGACCATGACAGCTAAGTCATTTTATTTATAATTAAAATGATTCTTAGCAGATCTGTACACCAACTAACACTGAATTTGGGTTAATGAAGAATTTTTAAACCAAACTGAAACAACTCTGTTTTAAACCTTCAGGTTTTTTGTTTTTTTTTTTTTGAGACAGAATCTCATATTGTTGCCCAGGCTAGAGTGTTGTAGCCTGGTAGGTATTTATGGGTTTAGGCCAGGGGTCCTCAAACTTTTTAAACAGGGAGCCAGTTTACTGTCCCTCAGACTGTTGGAGGGCTGGACTGCAGGCCCTGGGACAAGTTGGCTGCTAGGCAGGACAGGCAGTGGTGGCAAAAACACCCGGTGGGCCAGATAAATTTCCTAGGCGGGCTGCATATGGCCCGCAGGCCATAGTTTGAGGACGCCTGGTTTAGACAATCCTTCTGCCTCAGCCTCCCAAGGGATTACAATAGGCACCTGCCACCATGCCTGGCTGATTTTTCTATTTTTATAAAAATGGAGGTCTCACTCTTGCTCAGGCTGGTCTGGAACTCCTGAACTCAAGCCATTTTCTTTCTTTCTTTTTGAGACAGAGTCTCAAGCTGTTGACCTGAGTAGAGTGCTGTGGTTCACAATAACCTCCAACTCAGTCTCAAGTGATCTTCCTGCCTCAGTTTTTCTACTTTTAGTAGAGACAGGGTCTTGCTTTTGCTCAGGCTGGTCTCAAACTTGTGAGCTCAGCAGTCCACCCGCCTCGGCCTCCCACAGTGCTAGGATTACACACCCAGCCTCAAATCATCTTCTTATGGTCTTCCAGAGTGCTAGGATTCAGGGATGAGCCACTGTGCCCAGCCTAAAAGCTTCAAATTCTGATTAAAAACCTGATTTCCATTTGGGGTCCATTCCTTTAGTATTGCTGGGGCTACCCTCAAGCTCACCCCCAAGTAAATCTGTACAAATTAATAAAAAAGGAATCCTAAATCTAGAATTGCTTTTTTTAAGCCAGCAACTCTAATAATCATGTCATCGCTTTCATGTATTGGTGGTGATATGTTATTGGCATTAGTAGAAATTCTGTCTTTGTTAATGTTATGGCTATAATTCTGATTATATACTGAAGAATAAAGTTTCACGCATCCTGTACGTGCCAAAACAATGCTGTTTATCTAAAACAGCATTAATTTACACGTAAGAGAATTTTGGTATTTAATTTTATATGCTTATAGCTTAAGTATACCGAGGTGTTAGTCAGTGGACTCAATACTTTACACAATGACACATTCTATAAGTTAGCAAATGATAAAGTAGTTTATACGTTTATTATTGAAATCTGAGCGTTGTTTTAATGGCTGGCATGATTTTTTTTTCCTTCTTACAGAAGTCCAGAAGTCTGAAGACCTTTGTTCTATAACCATAGGTGGAGAGGATCTCCCTAAGATGCCTCCTGAAATGCAACTTAAGGTAATCTGGAACTTTCCTAAGCTATCTTCAGCTTAAGATAGTTTTTCTATGTTTTACTTTTTTTTTAAGATAGCAGTAATAACACTAATTTTTCTTGGCATTGCAGGTCCTACATTCAGCTCTTTTCACATTTGATTTGATTGAAAGTGTCCTGGCTCGAGTAGAAGAACTCATTGAAATAAAAACAAAGGCTACCTCTGAAGAAAATATTGGGATAAAGTGAAAGTTTTGCTTCCTAAGTAAAAACTAATAAAATGCCATACCTTCCATTATGACTTATTTAATAGCTTTATAAAAAATTCTCTGTAAAAACTTACTGCTAGAAAAATAAATGACTTTTCTCATTTATCAATTTCCATAATGATATACTATAGAACAATTCTTAGGTTTTAAGTTATCTACATAGTAAATAATGTCTACATACAAATAATCTAAATACTACTTTTAGAATATTTAATACAAACTAACAATTTATATTTCATAAAATGTAGCTGAATTGTCTTTATTCATTCATATGGTTGCAGTGAGTTTATAAAGTACTTGTTGACTGTCTGGTCCAGTGAGATGCTATGTGACATTTTAGAACTCCTAGCATCAAGTTGGAGTCTACAACACTCTAAGAGTACAGAAAGGAGTTCTGAGTTCAAATCAGTTGACCACTTCTCTTAGCTTCCCTCTCTTTTTCCCATCTCAGGAGGAATCTTAAGATTCCTATTATTCGCAGAGTCCTATCACCAGCAGAAGTTGTGATGTGAAAGCATCTGCAAAGATAATTTCAGAAATACTGGCTACTCTTGTGGAAAATCTAAAGAGCTAAATAGAAACTTCTGTATTTTTATTTCCTACTAAATATTTGTCCATCTAACTCAGTAAGAAACTGCTTCTGAATATGTACCAGTTCTTTTTATATATATATATATATAGAAACCCATATATATATGGGTTTTTTTTTTGAGACAGAGTCTCATTCAGTTGCTCTCAGTAGGTACCATGGCATCCTCAAACTCTTGGGCTTAAGCAATCCACTTGCCTTAAGTCTCCTGAGTGGCTGGGACTACAGACGCCTGCCACCAACAGCCCAGCTATTTTGTTTTTAGAGATGGGATGTCACACTTGCTCAGGCACAACACTGGGCTATTTTTAGAGATGGGATCTTGCTCTTGGTTCAGGCTGGTCTCTAACTCCTGAACTTGGGCAGTTCACCTGCTTTGGCCTCCCAGAGTGCTAGGATTACAGGCATGAGTCACTATGCCCAGCCTATCAGTTCTTACTAAACATTATTAAAGAAATCACTCAACAAAATTCCTAAAATCACTTTTTTAATTGTATACATGTTACTATTTTAAATTAGTATAAACATCTTTAAAGTAAATACATATTTGAACATTGTAACAGGTCTAATTATTTTAACATTCTTCCAAAGATCACATATAATGGATAGTCTAATTTGGGTTAATTGAATCACTACTCAGTTTTATCTTTTGAAGTGTTTTCCAAACAGGACTTTGCTCAATTATATAAGCTTTAGTTGTTATCATTCTGTAGCAGACGGTATCTATGTATGGTTTGGAGGCAGTCTAGAAGATATAAACATGCAGCATTATTTTCAGAAATAAAGTATTTTTACAGGGTCACATTAAAAAAATACCTAATTTTGATTTAGCAAATATCTCTTGATCACCTATGTGCTAAGTACTATGTATAAGTTATTAGAGTATTAGAGAAGAAAATACCTGATCTCTATCTTAAAAGAATTTCAAACATGCAAACCAAAAAGTAAAACTATAAGAATTACTTTAGGGCGGCGCCTGTGGCTTGGTGAGTAGGACACCAGCCCCATATACTGAGGGTGGTGGGCTCAAACCTAGCCCCAGCCAAACTGCAACCAAAAAACAGCCAGGCTTTGTGGCAGGCACCTGTAATCCCAGCTACTCGGGAGGCTGAGACAAAAGAATCGTTTAAGCCCAGGAGTTGGATGTTGCTGTAAGCTGTGTGATGTCACGGCACTGTACCAAGGGTGATAAAGTGAGACTCTGTCTCTACCAAAAAAAAAAAAAAAAAAAAAAAGAATTACTTTAATGGAGATATGTTCCAAATGTAAGAATAAAAAACACCTAATTCTCCCTAGGGAGCTTGGAGGCATCTGGGCATACTTTACAGAAGGACAAGCATGAAAAGAAAGTGGACAACTGATGGGGAGAATTCCATAAAACAGTATGTTTGTACTCCTGACACTTCATTACAGTAATCTGACCAACATTTATACTTTATAATTTGAAGGAAGACACCAGTTATCGATAAGAGTCAGCCAATGTTTTTGTGGCTCCAATGAGTCATAAATTGTAAGTGGCTACTAGAAATAGAGAAGACTTGTAAGGGCTGAGTTCAGGCTTGGGAAGGAGTTACATGCTGAAATAGCAACTTGTCTAAGAACAGAGGCAAGGTATTTACCAGTCCTCAAAAGAGTGGCAATCTGAAGTCAAAAACATTAAAATGTATGAATATGTATGTATGTTGTCATTTTCCATGGGTGACTCACCTTAGCTATAGTACACATAAGATTAATAGCATTTACTACGTTGTGTACTGGAAGTATTCGTAAGTTACTACCCAGGAATCTGAAAAACAATTCATAAGTTATAAAATCATATAATTTACTGACATTTGTTCTCTTAAATAGGTGGAAAGAAGAGACAAGCCTCTATTGTTTGTTATTTATTTAAGCATTCATGCTCTGTTTTATTCCACAGAAAATCTGAGGTGGCTTTATAGCCAGAACTTATTTAAGAAGTATTCTCTTTTGGTTTGTTCTTGCAGAAGAGGCCCACAGATTAGCATGAACTTTGAAACCTGTCATCTTAATTCATAAAACAGCTATTTGACAGATTAACATCATTAAGTTTATCTTCTAGCCAAACAAAATTCACCTGCTTAAAAAGAATTAAGAACTGAAACACAGTATAAGAAAAATAAGTGTGCAGTGTTTCTCTTCCATACCTCTGCTGAATCCTGAACATCAGTTTCCATTCTTCAGGCCCATGGAGGGCAGCAGACAGAACCAAAAAACTATTTCGGTGAATATCAGTAAACTTCTCAATTTTGTCTAGAAATAATTCTTCAGTTGACATAAAGCATTCTTTAGTGTCCATCAATAAAAATGCTACTCCTAGGAAAGGTGAACGTAATATAAAACATTACTTTGTCATATAGATCAAATTGTGCTGTATACTCAATAAAAATCAACAAAAATAGCTTAACAAATGTCTAGACCCTGAAACTCTAAAGGAATAGAAATTACTGTAACAGAACTCTTACAGGACAAAATGGTTTTGGTAGTTCTCTTAAGTGTTCTAACAATGGCTTGTTCTAAATATTTAAGAGAAAATTCTTTGGTACTTTTTTTTTTTCAGATGAAGGCACTGTCCACATGCAGGTAATAGCTAGCTTTTTAGTTACAAGATGAATTATGTTTTAGAAGTTTTAAAAAAATGTTTACTGGTTTATTATAAAGAATATTACAAAGGATACAGATGAAGAGATGCATAAAACTAGGTGTGTGGGAAGGGACACAGAGTTTCAATGCCCTCTCTGGGCCTGCTCACCTCCAGTAACCTCCAGTAACCTCCAAGATTTAGCAACCTGAAAGCTCCTATAACGACTGCTAAAAAGCTCAAATCAACTAAAGAAGGGTAGACTTAAGCAAGCCTTCAATTATTTCGTGGAGAAATCTTTCTACCAGAATGTAAAGAATTATATAAATTAATACACTCAGTGAGCAGATATCTAGGATCTCTGGAACAATGTCAGGACTACAAGAATGGTCCTAAAGGGAAACTTGATTTAATTATGGCTCTTCAAAAGATGTTGCAAAGACTTAATGTGAGGAAAGTAACTATATGATTACATACTCATTACTTAACTTTGGCTACTTATCCATACGTGTACAAACTCTCTGAACATCAGTTTCCTCATCTGTAACATGGGCATGACCATTCTTTGTTAGGTTTATCAGAAGGATTGAATAAGATAATGTATATAAAGTGACAAAGCACATAGTATTCACCAAAAAATAGTTTATTTCTCCCTAATGAGTTCTTTATTCAACAGAAGAATGAGTTTAAGGCTGGACTGCTTTCAGCCTGGAAGTCTATTCTTAGGAGCTTTTCAAAGCACTGATTTTCCAGAATCTGCTAGAGTAGAGGTCTATTTGCAACTCTCCAGATAAAATCCTTTGATCGCTTCTATCATTTCTCAGGCGTAGGTGAAGCTGCTCCCTTCTCATTTCCCCAGCCTTCTCTTATCTTAATCTAATTCCTTCCTATACTTATGACTCACAGTTGTACAGTTTTGTAATTTCAGGAACATTTATTTGTCCTCATAAGGGTTTTTTTTGAGACAGAGTCTCACTATGTTACCCTTGGTAGAATGCCATGGCATCACAGCCCACAGCAACCTCCAACTCTTGGGCTAAAGCGATTCTCATGCCTCAGCCCCCCAAGTAGTTGGGACTACAGGCACCTGCCATGATGCCCAGCAATTTTTTGTTGCAGTTGTCATTGTTCAGCTGGCCCAGGCTGGGTTCGAACCCGCCAACCTCCAAGTATGTGGCTGGCACTGTAGCCACTACCACTGTGCTATGGGCACCGAGCAAAGGCTTTTTATTTGTTAATATTCAGCAAAGTCTCATACAAAATCATGAAAAATATTATGCTATATTGTATTAGGTTAGTAAGTATGAAATATCTGATTTCCTTAAGTACTAAGTTTAACAGCTGATCTCTCTGATATTTCACTTTGACATTTGTTTTTGTTTTAATCTTTTATGTGTGTGTGAAGGAACATCTTCATTCTTTCAAATGCTTGTTTTGGCTTGTGATTATCTTCCAAAAAATTTTCAGAGCAATTTTTGTGAAACCATAGATAAGTCATAGTTAATTTTGACTAGGAGTTCCATTGTGCAACCCAGACATCAGAGGAAGCTTGAAGTAACAATCCTTTGGGAAGGATGTGGCTAATGAATGCATAGAACATCAATGATTTGAGAAGTTCTGTTCCTGTGATTTTAATCTTGAAAATGAGCCACCTAAGCAATCTGAGACCAAGGTGGATAATAATGAGCTGAAAGCTGTGGCAATGAATCCATTTAAACCTATACATGAATTAACAGCAAGGTCTGATGTTACTATTCCAACAATATTGGATAATTTGAAACAATTATCAAGGTAAAGAAGCTGGATAGATGGGTTCTGCATGAATTAAATGAGCATCAGAAGAGAGATCATCTGGAAGCTTGCCCTTCTTTGCTGTCACAATGTAAAGGTGAACCATTTCTACATTGTAATTGTTACATGTGATGCAAAATAATTTTTTTTTTTTTTGAGACAGAGTCTCACTCTATCTCTGGTAGTAGAGTGCCAAGGCATCATACCTCACAGCAACCTCAAAAACTTGGGCTCAAGCAATCCTCTTGCCATAGCCTCCCAAGTAGCTGGGACTACAAGCATGCATATGCCTGGTTAGTTTTTCTATTTTTTAGTAGAGAAGGGGTCTCAATCTTGCTCAGACTAGTCTTGAAAGCCTGAACTCCAGCAATCCACCTGCCTCTGCCTACCTGAGTGCTGGGATTACAGGCATCAGCCACCATACCCAGCCAAAATACATTCTGTTTGACAATCACAAGTGTCTGGAACAATGTTTGGATAAAGATGAGGTGCTGAAACGCAGTCCAAAGTGAATATTCATCAAAAAAAGGTAATGGTTTCTGCTTGGTGGTCTAGTGCTGGTATTATCCACTATAGCTTCATGAAATCTTGTCAACAGATGATAACAGATTATGGCAGACGTCTGCTGCAGTTAAGCAGCTGAGATCAGTCAACAGAGATAGGCCAGTTCCTTTGCAAGACAACATCAGATCACAAACAATACTCTTCAAACTTCAGAAGATAGACTTGGAAATACTCTGCCATCTACCATATTCACCAGACTTTGCACCAACTGACTACCACTTCTTCCAGGCTTTCGGCCATTTCTTGCAAGGAAAAATATTCAATTCTCAATAAGCTGTGGAAAACACCTTTCATGATTTCATCGCCATTCCTCCTCCAGGCATCTTCTCACAAGCTACTGTTAAGATGCCAAATCTGTGTTGGTAGTTTTGGTGCATACTTTGATTAAATGTACTCCTTTTTTGAGATACAATAAACTAACCTTTTGATTTGAAATCAGACACTTCAGATTTAAAGAATTGATTTTATTTTCTATCTGTATTTTGACCAGTGTTGTGTGATGTTGGTCTCTTAATACAGGTTATATTTTTACGTAAGTATTGATTGCTTGGAAAGTACCTTTTACTATTTTTATCTCAGTTCCAAACCAAGTATTTTTTATATCCTCTACCAGACTCCAATGGTTCAGCTTTATTCTAACAAATGTAACTTTGAAAAGGAATATATTTTGTAGTTGGTCATATGCGCTGCTTTTGCAGCAATAACAAAGCATTAGCACATTTACCTCTCCCAAAAGATTACCTTAAGCTTATTACATAGTTACTATAAAATTATTGAAATTTATACCTACATATTTTATATGAAACTTCAATCAAGGCAGTTAGACAATATACCATACCAGAAAGAGAAAATATAATTGATCCACTTTCCACTGAATCTGAATACCGAACTTTATGGCTTCGATTTTCTAGGGCAGTGGCAACTTCATTATTCTTTAAAAAAAATTTCAGAAATACAAGTGTAAAACAAGCTTACAATAATTTTTTTATTAAAGTTTATAAATAAAAGAAGTTTAATCACTTATAACTATACCACATAAAGGTTTGATCACCAAAAGCAAAACTAAATATGCTTGCTTGAAATAAAATACTTTAAAAAATGTTTTTCTTAAGAAAAAAAAAAAAGCATGTAGTTCTACTACAACACTTACAAGTTTTGAAATGGGTTGTGTACTATAGTTATGTTGTTTCAGGACAGAAATTAAGGACTTTTTTTTAAACTTTAAAAACCAGAGAAAATGCAAACTACTTCTTTTTCAGTTTAAGAGACAAAATTCTTACTATATATTGCCCAAGCTGGCCTTGAACTACTGAGCTCAAGCAAGCATTCCTCCCATGTCAGCCATCTAAGTAGCTGGGGCTACAGGCACAAGCCAACATGCATGGATGCAAAACTTCCTTTTAAAAAATAACTCAGAAGGCTCAGCACCTGTAGCTCAAATGGCTAAGGCATCAGCCACATACACCAGAGCTGGTGGGTTCGAATCCAGCCCGGGCCCGCCAAACAACAGTGACAACTACAACCAAAAAATAGCCAGGCGTTGTGGCAGGCACCTATAGTCCCAGCTACTTGGGAGGCTGAGGCAAGAGAATCACTTAAGCACAGGAGTTGGAGGTTGCTGTGAGCTGTAATGCCACAGCACTCTACCCAGGGTGACAGCTTGAGGCTCTGTCTCAAAAAAAATAAATAAATAAAAAATAAATAAATAACTCAGAGATGGATTCTGCTACGAATTCATGTATAACTATGGAAAATGGGTGGTTGTGTGTTTTTTAAATGCTCCACAAAGTGTCAAATACGTAGAATACCACACAAGAGACAACCAATCCTTCATCAGTCTGCATTACATTGACTTCAGTATACTTTTTTTTTTTT